GGACCAATATTCCGTGGCGTAACAAACTCTTGGGACTGCACAAAGCTGACAACATAGTTGTGTAGGCTATAAAATGCACCCCTGAATAGTCATTGGAAAAATCATTTTTAAAACATCCCCGCCTGAATAGTCTCTGGAAAAATAAAATATAAATTAAAATATTTACGCTCGAATAGCCTCTGGAAAAACATTTATTAAAAAATCTACGCCAGAATAATCTCCAGAAAAATATTTTTCTTTAAATTCCACGCCTGAATAGCTATGGTAAAATAAGTTTTAAAAAATCCACGACTGAATAGTTCTTTAAAAAATCCACGACTGAATAGTTCTTTAAAAAATCCACGACTGGATTTAAAAACCAGCAAGGAAAGAAGTAAAGTCGGACGGGGCCGACTATATTATACCCAACCGGTACTAAATTTTTCATTTGGTCAGATATAGAAGCTATATCTAAATCTTAACCGATTTTAGGAAACTTAGCACACATCATTCTAGACCTAATTCATTACGCTGTGCCAAATTTCGTGCAAATCGAAAGGTATATAGGGACTTTGGTGCACCATTTACATATAATAGGACGAAAATATATATGGGAGCTATATCTAAATCTGAACCGATTTTCAGGAAACTTAACACATCATTCTAGACCTAATTAATTACGCTGTGCCAAATTTCGTGCAAATCGAGAGATATATAGGGGCTTTGGTGCACCATTTACCTAAAATCGGACGAAAATATATATGGGATCTATATCTAAATCTGAACCGATTTTCAGGAAACTTACAACACATCATTCAATAACTAATTAATTACGCTGTGCCAAATTTCGTGCAAATCGAAAGGTATATAGGGACTTTGGTGCACCATTTACCTTAAATCGGACGAAAATATATATGGGAGCTATATCTAAATCTGAACCGATTTTCACGAAACTTACAACACATCATTCTAGAGCTAATTCATTACGCTGTGCCAAATTTCGTGCAAATCGAAAGATATATAGGGACTTTGGTGCACCATTTACCTTAAATCGGACGAAAGTATATATGGAGAGATTTTTCCCAATTTCAATAGGGTTCGTCCTTGGGCCAAATAAGTGACCTATGCCAAATTCCATCCAAATCGGATCATAAATGCGACCTGTACTTTGTTCACAAAAATACATGGACGGACGGACATGCGTAAATCGACTCAGAAAGTGATTCGATGCTCGTTTCCTTTTGCCAGTTACAAACCTATGCCCCAAGACATAATAGCCTGTACCAAATTGTGGTGAAGGGTATAAAAAACACACACACTTGATGCTCGTTTCCTTTTGCCAGTTACAAACCTATGCCCCAAGACATAATAGCCTGTACCAAATTATGGTGAAGGGTATAAAAAACACACACACTTGAAAACTTCGTATAAATATTTTGCATTTAGGGAGATCTCTTAAATCCATAGAAAAATCTCTTTATCGTATATAGCCTTTAATAAGCTTCTGCTATTTAATTGAACAACCATGTAATTAAAGGTTCATTTCACAGGTAAATAAATAAAAAATTTCATATATATATTTTTTTTTAAATTCTAAACCCTGTCGCCGACAAATACATTGACAATTGTTGTGTTGACAAGAAACAGTGGAGCCATAACAATTTAATAATACTTTTATTTTTTTATCTTAACGGTCATTGATGATTTGAAATTTGAAACATTTTTGAGGTGGTAACAAGTTGAAATCTATCGTCTGCTGTTGGACAGTTGTTTACATTTGTGTAAAAACGTCGTCGGCGGGCTAATGGAATTTTGTTGTGTGGATATGCTGTGGCGTTCATTAGGGTCTGGGTTGTTTGTCAGTCAGTCACCCAGTCAGTCGTCACAGTGATCGTTGGGTTTAATGTTTCGCATTGGAAGCTGCGATGTCGTCTCATTTGGTCTTTTAACCTTGACACTCACCACTTTTGAGATCCACTCAAGACAGTGTTTCTACATAAAAGTTAGAAAATTCATACTCATACAAACACACACACAGGCAGTTAGTTGTCTAAAAACGACAAATCATACTTTTCAAAATAAAATAAAAAACAAAAGCAAAAAAAAAAAAAAAACTAGATAAGAAAACCAAAATAAAAATTTGTATATGAATTACGGCTTTTTTCGGAATTTATTTGATTTGAATTGATTTGGCTGGCTTGGTTGTTGTTGTGTTTCTCATCTCATTATTAGATTTGAAATCTTGCAGATATTTTGGTAACGTCTTCCTTCTAAGTTGAAGTTTTGCATGATTATCAGTCTGTCGCGTTAAGCTAAGCGTTGCGGACGTTAATCGCTAAAATCGTTGAAATAGCTTTAAAGGCTAAGCTTGTGTTTTGAATTAAATTAAACAAAAAATCAACAATTATGTAATTAAATAAAATAAGAAGAAAAATAAACAACGTAAAACAAATAATTAAAACTTAAATAAAGTTACATAAATTAAACTAAAAAACACATTGCATTTGGCAAAGCAAAAAAACATTAACTCATCTTCAGTGCAGTGTTAATAAATATTTAGCCAATCAACCGCCTCGACTGCTAATTTTACACTCATCTATGGCTTTGGCAGATATTGAATAACATCTAAACAGACCCATAAACTGCGTTAATCCATTGAAACCGCTCAGTTCCAGATACCTCAACAGTGTTGTCGATTTGTGTTTGTTGATGCTAATACCGCCTTGGTGATTTGTTTTTGTTGTTGCTGCTTATCATTGAATGATGCATGCGATTGGCAAAAAAGTGTTAAAAACAAACATTTAAACATATTCGGTGTAAAAATCACGAGTCGGATTAAAAAAAAACCAAACGAAAACAAAAGTCACAAATTAAACAAATAAATAAATAATTTATTTGTGTTATTATTACTGTTGAATTACAATAATAGTTGTTGTAAATTATATTTAAGTAGCAATTAAATACGGCCACCCACCCATCCATCCGCCAACAGTAATAAATTCAAAATGCGGTTACAATTAATTCTAGCCATTACTGTGGCAGTGCTGGGCACAGCTGTTGCCAGTAATTTGGCAGGATATGAAGGGTAAGTTGAGTTCCTTAGTTGAATGTGGATAATTACCAGGCTGTTCATGTTTCCATATATTACCACATTAACATTTTGAAATGTTGATCATGAAAAATAGATCTCAAGCAACAACGTCTATGACTAAAAATCGAATTTGTCTATAAATAAAAAATAGAGAATTTGTTATGAAATTAATTTAATTTATATTATTGCAGTTTTTGAAAAAAAAACGCCCTGCTTGATTTTCACTGTAATATGGTATTTTGGATTCATATTCCTACCAGAATTATTAATATACGTCCCCTTTTTGGGGGTAGCTCTCATATAACCCGTTTTGTATATAAAAATAGTTAGGGGGACCTCGGTTCTCGGTTTCAGAAAATTTAATTTTGTTGAATTCAAGAAGTGGCGGGTAAGAGAGGCGTGGGAATGATAGTTAAAACCAGTAAGGAAAGTAGTAAAGTCGGTCTGGGCCGACTATATGATACCTTTCACCACTTTGGGTATATTTTACACATGTATCCTAACAGACGACGCGTTTTGTTAAAGATCTATATCTGAAGCGATTTCAGGGAACTTGCCAGAGACTAATTTATATAACATCAGTACGTTGTGTCCATCGGCCTAGCTATGGATCTTTTCACGAAGCTTAGCAACATCATTCTACACTTAATTCAGTACCCTATACCAAAATTCGTGCAAATCGAAAGATATATAGGGTCTTTGGTGCGCCAATTTTTTCACAGTAAATTTATGTTTGCAACAGCGAATTTTTCCATTTTGTACTACCGGGCTCCCCCCGAAATGAAATCCTGTGTACGTTGCTGATGGGAGCTATAACTAAATCTGAACCGATTTTCCTGAAACTTGGCAGACATCATTCTCGATCTTATTCATAACTCTGTGCCAAATTTTGTGCACATCAAAAGATTTCCAGGGACTTTATTGCACTATTTACATTAAATCGGACTAAAATATATATGGGAGCTATATCTAAATCTGAACCGATTTTTCCCATTTTCAATAGGGTTCGTCCTTGGGCCGAATAAGTGACCTATACCAAAGTTCATCCATTTCGGACCATAAATGCGACCTGTACTTTGTTTACAATTTAACATGGACGGACAGACGGACGGACATGCATAAATCGACTCAGAAAGTGATTCTATGCATATTCTAAAAAGGAGCAATGGGTCTATCTCGATTCCTTTTGCCTGTTACAAACATATGCACAAAGACATAATACCCCGTACCACAGTGTAGTGAAGGGTATAAATAGTTAATAGTTAAGGGTATAAATAGTGGCCTCGGTTCTCGGTTTCAGAAAATTTAATCTTGTTGAATTCATGAATGTCCCTTCAAAATTTCAAGAGAAAATCTCAATAACTCTTGAAGTTATAACCGATTTATTAGGTCATCATCAAACTTCAAACGCGTTTTTTTGTCGAAGTAGGATGTTTACGAATAGCGGGCGCGATTACTCAAAAATGTATAATCCTACTCCTTCCAATTTTTAGAAAGTTTTCTTGTACATTCATATATGTCGTATGAATTAGGATAAATGTAATCGGCCAAGATCTTTCCTATTTTCTAATTTGATATGTGTTCAAAAAATAGGGAATTTTCCAAAAATCAAACTTAAAAGGTCCTCCATTTTGTTACTTTTTGTGCGATGTACTCTTTCAAATGCCGTTGGAATTCTTGGATTGGTACGTTCGGAAATCATGACCGCTGTCGAAAAAGGCCTTTTTGTTATCATATTTTATTTATTTTATCCTAATCCGATTCTTTCCGATTTTATAAATGTAATCGGCCAAGATCTTTAGAACCACTTTGGTAAGAAAATAAATTACCAGGGGCGGTAATTTTATATTGGGGCAATGTGAAAATATGGACATATATTGAAAATCTTCTGCAATGATGAGAGAGAGAGAATCTCTAAAAACCGGGAATGCAATGGTGAAAATGGAGTAGTCGCAATGTATATGCAAAATTTGAATTAAATATTTTGAATTCTGCCGTTATTTCAGCAGACAATTGGATATGGGATTTGATTCTGATCCTGCTTGTATACTGTATCAGGTGTTTGTTAAATATTTCAAGGTGTGCATAATAGAATTACAAATTTAATATAAACACCGCATACTGGTGGAGGGTGTGGCTTATTAAATTGAAAGAATTCTGTTTTCTTAAATCTATATGTTCTGTAGACAGACTAATTCTCTTTGGCTGTCCTTCATACTTAATACACATAATTTGTGGCTCCAATTAATTAAAGCATTTCATAAAAACCCTGCTGTTGTACAGATTAGTTTCCTAAGTAATTCCCCGAAATTATGTTTATAGATTTTGCCATAAATGTGTTATATTCAAATCTGTTGGTATATTGTGATGAGAGATACACAAATTATCTAAATATTCCATTTCAAAACTTGAAAATCTACTTTTAATAAACAAAAACTTGTTTCCAAATTATTTTCAATGTTGCCAAGTAGAAATTGTCCATAAAATTCTAATAAAGTATTAGTTCTCAAGAACATTAAAAAAAAATCTATTAAAATCAAAAATTTGCAAAACAATAGGTACGATTTTTTAGGTCATCTCACACAAAGGATATAATAATGTTATTATAGCAGACATACTGTCTGCCATAAACTGCTATTCAAATGTTAAATAGGTGTATTATTGTAGTAAAATGTGGTAGTTGATTTTAGACAATCATTTTGGGATTTTAATGTGTTTATTTCTGAAGAAGACTAGACGACGAATTAAATAATCTCAAACACATTTTTATATATATTTAAAATATGTACATAATTAAAAAATCTATAATTTTATTTGAATTTAATAGGTTTGGGACTTGTTCTAGACACAGGAAGGCTATAAGCTGTTCAGATTTCTTGTTTGAGTTTGGGTTTAATACTAAATGCCAGCTAAAATTAAAAATTATAAATTCGACAAAGAATATAGAAGACAAGAATCAAAATACATTATACTAAAAATTAGCAGAATAATACTGTGATAACTTGCGGCTATTTTCTACCGAACTGTTATTAACACCGTCCGCCAATATTTTCACATTGCAATATTTGTACAAAAGTTCGGTCCACTTTTTCTGGTACATCTACTTAGAAACGCTCGAGGTTTTAATATGAGGCTATCTCATGTTAGATCTCTGATTTTTTTTTATTTTATGAGAAAACTAATATGGATTCGATTAGGATCTTCCACGTACCGAAAATGGGCTAAAGAGTAATATATCAAACCATTGACCTATTTTAAAAATATTCTGAATTTTTCACCCACGATCAGTTAATGCTGCTAATGTATGTGCAAAAATCACAAATCTCAAATATTGACTATCGTATTTTATCCTAATCAAAAAAAAAAAAAAAAAAAAAAAAAAAACAGTAAGGAAAGCAGTAAAGTCAGACGGGACCGACTATATGATACCCTTCACCACTTTGGGTATATTCAACAGATGGAATCCTAACAGACGTCGCATTTTTGAAGGACCATTAACATGAAATTAAACAAGTCATTCTGCAACCTATACTAAATTTTGGTCAGATATAAAGTTGCTTCTTACAATGGGACAAAATTATGCGAATAAATTTAAACCAAAATATCGAAATCTACACCGATTTCATCGAAACTTGTCCCATGTTATTTTACACTTATTTCAGTACGTTTTGTGCATTCGGCCACATTTTGAATTCTTCATTTACTTATAAATCCAAATTTCGTGCAAATCGAAGGATATATAGGGACTTTGGTGCACCATTTACATCAAATCGTACGAAAATATATGTGGGAGCTATATCTAAATCTGAACCGATTTTCGAGAAACTTAGCACACATCTTTTTAGACTTAATTCAGTACGCTATGCCAAATTTCGTGCAAATCGAATGATTTTCAGAGACTTTGGTGCACCATTTACCTAAAAATTTATCTAAATCTGAACTGATTTTTACGAAATTTAACACACATATTTCAAGACATATTTCAGAACTCTAGGACAAATATCGAAGAATATATAGGGACTTTGGTGCATCACATCATTCTAGACTTAATACAATACGCTATGCCGAAATTCGTGCAAATAGAATGATTTTCAGGGACTTTGGTGCATCATTTACCTAAAATCGGGCGAAACTATATATGGGAGCTATATCTAAATCTGAACCGATTTTCACGAAACTTAGCACACATCATTCTAGACCTAATTGAGTAGGCTATACCAAATTTCGTGCAAATCGAAAGGTATATAGGGACTTTGGTACACCATTTATCTAAAATCGGGCGAAACTATATATGGGAGCTATATCTAAATCTGAACCGATTTTCACGAAACTTAGCACACATCATTCTAGACCTAATTGAGTAGGCTATACCAAATTTCGTGCAAATCGAAAGGTATATAGGGACTTTGGTACACCATTTACCTAAAATCGGGCGAAACTATATATAGGAGCTATATCTAAATCTGAACCGATTTTCACGAAACTTAGCACAAGCCATTCTAGACCTATTTCAGTAGGCTATACCAAATTTCGTGCAAATCGAAAGACATATAGCGACTTTGGTACCCCATTTACCTAAAATCGGACGAAAATATATATGGGAGCTATATCTAAATCTGGACCGATTTTTCCCAATTTCAATAGGGTCAAACAAATGAGCTGTGCCAAATTTCATCCAATTCGGATCATAAATGCGACCTGTACGTTGTTTACAATTTAACATGGACAGACGGACAGACGGACGGATGGACGGACATGCATAAATCGACTCAGAAAGTGATTCTATGCATATTCTCAAAAAACCATGGGTCTATCTCGATTATTTTTGCCTGTTACAAACATATGCACAAAGACATAATACCCTGTACCACAGTGTGGTGAAGGGTATAAAATATATATATATACATACATAATGTGGTCTCCGACAATTATTTGGAGGTGTTTCAAACTCGGTATTAAATAATCGATATTTTAGTTTTCATAATTAACTAAAA